TTTTTTTTTTTTTTTTTCCTGGAAATCTTCCAGATGTTATTTGTGTCTTTGCACATGCTTAGGCATAGGTGAATATTTTTTCTTTTATTTGGTGTGGCACTTTGTAGACTCTCAGTCCAAAGCACTGGATTTTTCTTTAGCTCTGGGATATTTATATAAATGGTAGAACTTCTGGGTGAATTTGACTTGTCTCTTCTCTCCTCCTCTGTGCTTGGGGTCATTTCTTCAACTTTATCTTTCAGATTGAAATTTAGTATTTTGCCATGTCTATCTCATTATTCAGTCTTCAAACAGAATGTTTTCCTGTAGTGTTCATATTTTTTCGTTTCATTTTTTTCCCCCATTTACTCCTTGTTCCATGGATTCGGTGGTGGCTTTTGTGTCACCTGTTCTGCATGCTCATTTGGGTCTGTCCTTTTTGTGTGCGGGCTGTTGATTTTCTTCTGAGTCTGGTGAACACTGGGTTAATGTCTGTATTTGAATGAAAGACCATTTTGGTTAGTAGGGATAGTGTACCATGAGGCAACTTCACAGTCCTATGGATCTATTCCAGAGAGGTCTCTCCTCTAGTGAGAGGGCTGACTGCAGGCTTTGTCTCTATTGGTGGTACCTGTTGACCAGCAACCTTCCCCTTTAAGGCGAATGGTAGGGAAGCAGAAATCTTCCTTTCGGGAGAGTACGATAGCCTGTTTCATGTATTCCAACCACATTGGCTTCCTCTTTTTTGTTTTTGTTTTTTAAATGTGTATTTACTTTTGAGAGACAGAGCATGAGCAGGGAAGGGGCAGAGAGAGAGAGAGAGAGAGAGAGAGAGAGAGAGAGGGAGACGAAATCAGGAGCTCCAGGCTCAGAACTGTCAGCACAGAGCCCGACGCAGGGCTGGAACTCAAGCTCTGAGATCCTGACCTGAGCCAAAATCGGATGCTTAGCCAACTGAGCCCCCCAGGCGCCCCCGTCGTGCGGGTCTTCAGACCCCTCCAGCTCTGCTGTGTCTTCTCTCCAGAGTCCCAGTATCCCCACTGTCATCCCTCCCCAGACGGACCTTCTACCATATTCAGAGTTCAGAGGATCCATGAGGGGGCAAGTGTTTCCTGTGTGAACACTGGCCTTCACCTCCATCTTTGAGGAAGTGTCCCGTTCACAGAGGAAGACTGTCAGCCATAGGCTGAAACATTTTTTTTCCAACCTGCATGTTTTTATACTCCTAAGCAAAACTTTAAGAATTATCCTCTAGGGGAGCCTGGGTGGCTCAGTCGGTTAAGCGACCGACTTGGGTTCAGGTCATGATCTCGCGGTTCGTGGGGTTCGAGCCCCACGTCAGGCTGTGTGTTGACGGCTCGGAGGCTGGAGCCTGATTCAGATTCTGTGCCTCCCTCTTTCTCTGCCCCTCCCCTGCTCACGCCCTGTCTCTCTTTCCTTAAAAAATAAATAAACATTAAAAAAAAAAAAAAAAGAATTATCCTCTATAGTGGCAGCCTAGACCATGCCCCTTTTACCCTCGATTCTAACTCAGAAAATTTAGTGACGTTTTATTGGGTACTCGTTTCGTCAAATAGAAAAGTTGTGTTTTCACTGAATTACTGATCCATTAGTTAGGTTTGTCAGATCAGTAGTAATTAATATACTCCACTTAAATGTAATTTTGGGGTCACTGACCACTTTCTTTTCCTCCCACAGAGATATTATTTACCTTGTGAGCCAAGTGATGCCTATTTTTGCTCCCTTTCATCTATTTGATGCCCTTGCAGTGAGTATCTGGAGAGATTTTACCCCCACCTAATATTCATAGCAAGATTTGTTTTGCGTTTCTAGTTTTGAATTAAATATGCGATTTCATCCTTGAGAAGAGAGAGTTCTTGCCACAAGTGTTCTTTTTTTTTTTTTAACATTTATTATTATTATTATTTTTTAACGTTTTTATTTATTTTTGAGACAGAGAGAGAGCATGAACGGGGGAGGGGCAGAGAGAGAGGGAGACACAGAATCGGAAGCAGGCTCCAGGCTCCGAGCCATCAGCCCAGAGCCGGATGCGGGGCTCAAACTCACGGACTGTGAGATCGTGACCTGAGCTGAAGTCAGACGCTTAACCGACTGAGCCACCCAGGCGCCCCTAACATTTATTATTTTTGAGAGACAGAGACAGAGCACTAATCAGGGAGAGATAGAGAGAGAGGAAGACACAGAATCCGAAGCCGGCTCCGAGCCGTCAGCACAGAGCCCGGCGCGGGGCTTGAACTCACGAACCGTGAGATCATGACCTGAACCAAGTCAGACGCTTAACCGACTGAGCCACCCAGGCGCCCCTTGCCGCAAGCATTCTTCACCGGTTGTGGGAAAGATGGGTGACGCTAGAGTATAACATCTCAAGGTAGAAGAGACCAGAGCTATCCAGCATCCTCTTTATCTGGGGCCTGAATGCCCTGTGTGACTCTTAGCCACATGAGCAGGCCCGTATCTACTGTATTGTCCATGGCAGGCCAGGCCACCTTCGAGTTGACCCTGACCACGAGAAAGTCTTTCTCTAGGCTGATCTTCTGTGGGTTTGTAGGAGTTTGAAGACCCTTCTGCTGTACCCTGGGATCATGCCTTGAGTCGTCTTCCCAATTTCAGCAGTTAGCCCTCATGACTTGATTTCTAGGTCCGTTTGCCACCTTTCTTTTTCCCCCAAGGAGTTTCTTCCATTTTATCGTTACCAGTCTGAAGGTGTGATACCCGATTGAATACCAGCTGTGGTAAGAACAGTGTGGAAGAGAGCAAGATGGTTGCCACCGCTCTGACTCTGGGCATTTTTGAAGCCCATGGTCCCATTCCTGCTTTTCAGCCATGATATCAGACTAGTTTCTGCTGAGATTTCCATCAGTGAACCTTAAACTTTTTTTTAATCATACACTTACAAAATATTTTTAAGCAAAGATCTGAATAACATTACCTGGGGGTTTCTGATGAAAGCCGCTATAGCTTATTGTCGTTAACGTAACTTTAGAAGCAAAACGTTTTTATCTCTTACGTAATGTGCAGTTCTTGTTTTGAGGTAGAACTGTGTGATCACATCCAAACCTGGGATGTATTAATGTAATATGTCTCACGAACCTGACACGAGGGTAGGTAAACGGCTATAATGGTGGTTTTGGTATTCCTCTCTTTAGGGCACCTGTGGTGGAATCCTGCGAGGTACAGGAAAACAAAAGATCGGTGCTATCATGAACGCCATCGGTTATTATGTGTTTGGTTTTCCCATTGGAGTATCTCTGATGTTTGCCGCAAGACTTGGGATAATAGGTATGTTTTTGATTCCTCAGTGATTAACCTCAAATCTCATTTGTCATATTAAGATAAGCTGCTTGAGATATAAATTAGCTGACTTAAGGGGCCCCTGGGTGGCTCAGGCGGTTCAACATCCCACTCTTGATTTCGGCTCAGGTCGTGATCTCACGGTTCGTGAGTTCGAGCCCCACATCGGGCTCCACGTTGGTGGTGTGGAACCTGCCTGAGATTCTCTCTCTCTGCCCTTCATGCTCTCTAGCTCTCTCTCTCTCTCTCGAAAATAAATAAACTTAAAAAAAAAAAAAATAGTTGACTGATAAGTAGCCCCTGTGGAATTGTTTTCTCTCAAAATAGTTACTCCTCTGCCTTCTCTGTACCAAAACCCTGGAAAGGTAGTCTTGAAAAAAGTAGACATGATCTGTGTCCTCAGGATGAGACCAAGATTAAGTAATTACACGGGAATTCCATTTGGATTCAGTACCGCAGGCGAGAAGAACTGGGTCCTGTGAGCACCCGTGAGTTCCCTCACTGGTTGGAGGGGACATCTGAGCCTTGACGGACTCGCCAGACCTGGCTTGCCCGAAGGTAGTAATGTGTTAGCTTCAGACCCGAGACATGATGAATTACCTAGATGAAGTGAACACCATTTACTGAAAAACTGTTCTTTCCTCACTGAATGATCTTGGCACACTTGTCGAAAATTAGTTGGCCACGGACGTAGGAGTTTATTTCTGGACTCTCTGTTCTCCTCCACTGGTCTCTCTGTCTAAACCAACACCACTCTCTTCTGGATTACTATAGCTGTGTTTACTACAAAACTTAACTGTTTTGAAATCAGGAGGTGTAAGCCTTGCAACCTTGTTCTTTTTTTAATTTTGTTTTGGCTGTTTGGGGACCCTTGGAATATTCCATATGAATTTGAGGGTCAGGTTTTCCATTTTTTGCAAAAAGGCCGTTAGACTTTTTATCAGGATTGCATTGAATCTACAGACTGCTTTGGAAAGAATATTGCAATCTTAAGTCCTCCAGTCCATGGGCACAGGATTTCCATTTATTTAGGTCTTTAATTTCTTACAGCAACGTTTTGCAGTTTTCAATGTTTTCTGCTTCCTTGGTTGAATTTATTCCTAGATATTTTATTCTTTTGGATGCTATTGTGAATATAATTTTTTTTATTGATATTTTAGAGAGAGCACAAGTGGGGGATAGAGGCAGAGGGAGAGAGAGAGAGAATGAGAATCTTAAGCAGGCACTGTGTGGAGCACGGAAGCAGGGCTCGATCCCCTGACCCTTGGGATCATGACCTGAGCTGAAATCAAGAGTCAGACGCTCAGCTGACTGAGCAACCCAGGCGCCCCTAGAACTATTTTCTTAATTTCCTTTTCAGATTGTTCATTGATGGTATTTTAAACCACAGCAAATTTTGTGTGTTGACTGTGTAAGTTTACTGAATTTATTAGCTGTAGTATTTTTGTGTGTGTGAATTAAAAAAAATGTGTCTAAGTTATTTATTTTTGAGAGAGAGAGAGCGCACAAGCCAGGGAGGGGCAGAGAGAGAGAGATAGAGAGGGAGACACAGAATCTGAAGCAGGCTCCAGGCTCTGAGCTGTCAGCACAGAGCTGGATGCGGGGCTCAAACCCACAAACTGTGAGATCATGACCCGAGCCAAAGTCACAACTGACTGAGCCACCCAGATGCCCCTATGTGTGGATTTTTAAAGATTTTCTGTGTATTGAATCAAGTCATAATTAAATAATTTTACTCCTTTTCTAATTTTTAAATTTTATCTTTTTCATTGTGGTAAGTGTACTCTTTAATCACCATCACCTATTTGCCCCATCCCTCTAACTCATGCCCCTTGGTAACCATCAACTTGTTCTCTATAGTTAAGAATCTATTTCTTAGTTTCTTTCTTTTTCTTTTTTCTTTGCTCACTTGTTTCATATCTTAGTTCCACATGTGAGTGAGATCCTATATTTGTCTTAATCTGACTTATTTTGCTTAGCATTGTGCTCTCTAGCTCTATCTATGCTGTTGCAAATGGCAAGATTTCATTCTTTTTAATGGCTGAATAATATTGCATTGTGTGTATATATATCACATGTTCTTCATCCATCCATCTACTGATGGACACTGGGTTGCCTCCATTATCTTCGCTGTTACAAATAATGCTGCAATAAACATAGGGGTGCATATATCTTTTTAAATTAGTGTTTTCGTTTTCTTTGGGTAAATACCCGGAAGTGAGATTGTTGGATCATGGGATAATTCTGTGTTTACTTTTTGGAGGAACCTTCGTACTGTTTCCCTGAGTGGCTGCACAGATTTGCATTCCCACCAGCAGTGCATGATGTTCCCTTTTCTCTACAGGCTCACCAACACTTTATTTCTTGCCTTTTTTTTTTTTTTTTTTTTTTTTTTTTTTTTTTTTTTTTTTTTTTTTCTTTTTTTACTGTTTTTTTTCTAGCCGTTTTGACTGGTGATGTCTCCTGGTTTTGGTTTGCATTTTCCTGGTGATTAGTGACCTTTTCATGTGTCTGTTGGCCATCTGTATGCCTTCTTTAGAAAAATGTCTATTCAGGTTCTCTGATCATTTTTTAACCAGGTTTTTTTTTTCCTGGTGTTGAGTTACAGAAGTTCTTTATATTTTTTTGGTATTACCCCTTTACCAGATACATCATTTGCAAATATTTTTTCCTGTTTGGTCGATTGCCTTTGTGGTTTTTGATGGGCTCTTTTGCTGTGCTAATAAAGCTTTTTCTTTTGGTCGAGTCCCAATGGTTTTTGCTTTTGTTTTCCTTGCCTGAGGAGAGATATCCATAAATATGTCTAAGAGATTACTGCTTATGTTTTCTATAGGGAGATTTATGGTTTGGGTCTCACATTTAGGCCTTTAAGCCATTTTAAGTTTATTTTTGTGAACGGTATAAGAAAGTGGTGTAGGGGCGCCTGGGTGGCGCAGTCGGTTAAGCGTCCGACTTCCGCCAGGTCACGATCTCGCGGTCCGTGAGTTCGAGCCCCGCGTCGGGCTCTGGGCTGATGGCTCAGAACCTGGAGCCTGTTTCCGATTCTGTGTCTCCCTCTCTCTCTGCCCCTCCCCCGTTCATGCTCTGTCTCTCTCTGTCCCAAAAATAAATAAACGTTGAAAAAAAAAAATTAAAAAAAAAAAAAAAAGTGGTCTAGTTTCATTCATTTTCATGTAGCTGTCTAGTTTTCCCAACACCATTTATTAAAAGTGTGTTTTCTGTTTAAGATTTTATTTTTAAGTAATGTCTACAGCAAATGTGGGGCTCAAACTCACAGCCCTGACATAAAGAGTTGCATGCTCTACTGACCAAGCCAGCCAGGTGCTCCCCAAAAGAGACTTTTCTTTTCCCCGTTGTATATTCTTGCCCGCCTTTCTAATTTCAATGGATTTTATTTCCTTTTTCCTGCCTTATTATTGTGGCAAGAACTTATACAATTTTAACATTTTTCTATATTCTTCTACAGTGCTTTTATTTTCAAGTTTAAAAACTGTAAAAAACTGAAATTCATATGGTGTGAGACAATATTCATAAAGAGCTTTTATGCTAACCTTTTGTATATATAATGTCACTTAAGTTTAGATGATGACCACATAAGATATTTCCCACAAGTTCCATTCTAAATACGAAGCAGCTAAAACTTGAAGAGTTTAAGTAATTTGTCCCACAGATAGTAAGTGATGAGAAAGGATTTGAACCCAGATAATTTGCCTCCTTGGTGGTGCATGTTGTCTCTCTCTCTTTTAGCAAATTATTATTATTTTGTTTTTTTTTGGAAATTATATCCTTTATCAAGATTCTAAATGTATAGGATTGTACAAAATAATCTATCATGTGCTTTTGGGGTAAGTTGTTATACGTGTTTTATACATATATATTCACATCTGTATCTTCTGTAGCTTTCAGTAACAGTGAATTTTATTTTTGAGTGTGTATTTTTTTTTTTAATTTTTTTTTCAACGTTTTTTATTTATTTTTGGGACAGAGAGAGACAGAGCATGAACGGGGGAGGGGCAGAGAGAGAGGGAGACACAGAATCGGAAACAGGCTCCAGGCTCCGAGCCATCAGCCCAGAGCCCGACGCGGGGCCCGGACCGCGAGATCGTGACCTGGCTGAAGTCGGACGCTTAACCGACTGCGCCACCCAGGCGCCCCTGAATGTGTATTTTTTAAGAGTGAACGAGCGAGCATGAGCAGGGAGGGGCAGAGAGAGACGGAGAGAGAATCCCAACCAGATCGAGAATCGGACGCTTACGCGACTGAGCCACCAGGCCTGAATTTTATTTTCCTTAAGAAAAAAAATAGTCTAATTAGAGGATTGACTGAATGCTTTAGTATGTATCAGATAGCTCCTTTTTTTCTGTAGTCAACCAGTACATTTTTACTATGTAAAAATTTTGAGTCTGCTCTTTATTCTCTGCGAAATTTTCATCTTCTAGCTATCATAAGAGCCTCCCTGTGTCCACACAAACAGGTGCTTAGTTTATCTTACTTGTTGGAAATGTTACTTGGTGGCTTAATGAGGAACTGTCTTCAATGTCGTCTGTGTTTTTAATGACAGGTACAGGCTGGGGGCCTGTAGGGCATTTGAGTAACGTTAGGCTGGGCTTCATTCTCTATTTGGGACACAGGACTGCCAAATATTTATTACTCTCTCCTAGTGCTACCAAGCACTGTCCTAATCACCAGAGAAAATACTGTTCAACCAAATCGTAAGAGCCGCTGCCCTTAGTAAGCTGCTGGGGCTTTACGATTCAGCTTTACTTAAAAAAACAAAACACATAAAAGCACTCTTATTAGATTCTAAGCTCCTTTAGAGTAAGCAACATCTCAGATTTCCCTCATTTTTTTTGTTCACTAATATGCTTTTGATAATTGTACATAGTGGGTTCTCAGGTTTGTTAAATAACTTTTGAAGATTTTGTTTATTTATTTTAGAGTGCACAAGGGGGAGGTGTAGAGGGAAAAGGAGAGAGAGAGGAGAAAGAGAGAGAGAAGAGAGAATCCCAGGCAGGCTCTGCACTCAGCACAGAGCCCAACGTGGGGCTCAGTCTCACAACCATGAGATCATGACCTGAGCTGAAGTCAAGTCAGATGCCTAACTGACTGAGCCACCCAGTGTCCCCAAGATACTTTTAAATTATTAAAATTATACTTTAACGGCATGGAAATTTTGGGAAAATACATTAAGTGTAAACAATTAAATTACCTTTTATTACACTGCCTTGATATAATGGCAGAGGCATTCAGTGTATTTTATTTCACTATTTTAAAATTGTTTTTTATTCCGGTATTTTTTCTATTTTTCACAAATGCAGGGTTTTACTGAATGTGTAATTTTCCCCTATTCTGTGTTAAAGACGTGGTTTTTAGGACCTCTACTATTTCCTTGCATCATTTCCTTAATGCTCCCGATAGTGGACACTTAAACTGCTTCTCTATATAAATAAGATTGTGATGAGCATCGTAGGTGTATGAGTTACTAACGTTTCTGAATCTTTCCTTAGGACGGGTTCCTAGAAATGTAATCACTTGATCAAAGTGTGTAAACTGTCCGTCCACCTAATTCTCAACTGAAGGGAAGTTTTAATCAGCAGGGGTCTACAGAGGACCAGCCTCACTGTGCTTTTCCCTAGTGTGGGGCCACAGACACGGAATGAACGAATTAGTATTCCAACTCCCAGTTTATACCACGTTCCAACTCATCCCTCCGCAGCTTGCGTCATAGTGAAATTATTGATATCAGGGGCGCCTGGGTGGCGCAGTCGGTTAAGCGTCCGACTTCAGCCAGGTCGCGATCTCGCGGTCCGTGAGTTCGAGCCCCGCGTCGGGCTCTGGGCTGATGGCTCGGAGCCTGGAGCCTGTTTCCGATTCTGTGTCTCCCTCTCTCTCTGCCCCTCCCCCGTTCATGCTCTGTCTCTCTCTGTCCCAAAAATAAATAAAAACGTGGAAAAAAAAATTAAAA